ATCAATAAACATTCCTTCAATGATTTCAAACTTAGAGTGGGTGAGTAAAAAAATAATAAAGTGTGTAACCCTAAACCAAACACTAATCCTAATCCTAATCCTAAACCTAGCCATATAGTAAGTACATGTTGTTAAATTAATTAATATTACTCAGTACTTAAATGTATATAATTACACTGTAACAAGGACACCTTAAAATAAAGTGTAACCTAAAGTGTCTTTTTTGTAAGTGTCTTTATTAACATAAAATCTATAGGTGTGTTCTCTATTGATTTTAAAACGCATTCAGCTGTAGTTGCACAAATATGCTAATGAAAATACATGTTTATTGTAATTCTTCAACAGGGAGTTTTGTTTTTATATATAGTGTGTATATCTAAACAAAATAAAAAATTGTTATCCAACATCTGTGGTCACCCATGCGAAAAAACGAATTGCCCCTTTAAACTTAAAATCGGTTCATTCCACCTTTAGCAGCAAGAACTGCAAACAAACTTTTCTGAAAACTACAGATCAGTCTTTTACAGCACAGTGGTGGGTATATATATTATTTTTTTTAGCTGGTGAAAATACTAGTGTTCTAATAATTTTGGCCACCACTGTATATACACAAAAAATGTAAGAAATTTGAATCCATGCTTGACAAGCTCCTGTCTCAACATCTCCACAGGCCTCTTCATTTGTGGCTGGTGCTGTTGTTATGGACCACCATGTCTACAATGCTCCTGTTCCATTCAAAATAATCTCGATTGGCCGCCTGAATGATCTCAAACTTAAATTCTGAAAAATGTTTGAACATTTACAGTCAATAACAGAAGTTGTCCCAGAAGGACTAAAAATCTTTACTATCATAGTAAAACTCCTCTCTAGTCATCTCTTCTCCCTTTCCTTCTCCTCTCCTCTTTTCTCACATCCTCCTCTCTGCTCATCTCTTTCTACCTGTTACACGTTTCATCTTCTCTCTCATTACACGCCTTTCTCTACCCACTCCACCACTTTATAGCCTCACACCACTTTCTTTACCCCCCACCCCCATTTTAATTTTTATTTATTATTATTATTTGCATATTCATTCTTGCTCTTTGTATACTTTCCCTTTTATTACTACTCTAAAGCAATTGTGATAAATGTGTAAACGATTAGGAAAACTGCATTTCTTGTGTTGAGTGTATGATTAACCGAATAGTTATCAGTTTAGGGCCAATTGAAAATATACCATGTTCATTTGATAGAATGACAAATTACAGAGTTTGGTTTGTTGTGTTTGGACAAATGGTACATAAATGATTGTAATTTGTGTAAAACCTTTTTTTCAGATATTTTGAAGTATTGGTTGGTTGTATTAACTATTGTGAAAACATTTGAGAGTTTTGAGCATATTGTTTTGAGAAAATTACTTGCATGACCTGTAATTTGTATGAAATGAATGAAAACATACAATCTGTACAATTATAAAGTGTTCAGGTCACTGTTAACTGTTTTGAGAACAGTGACCGGAGTTTGGAGAAATGTGTCAAATCGATTGAGAAAAACTGTAAGATATATACAAATGAATGTTATTTACTGCCATCTGATTATATGCATGTGTGTGCATGTGTGTGTGTGTGTGTGTGAAGTGAAGTGGATCAAAAAAGTTCATCAAAGTTGTCCTAAAACAAGAACGCATTTTGGTTTTAGGTTTTAGGACTTTTTTACAAGTCAATCTATTGAACCATTTTCACAGATTTTAATGTCGAGTCCCTAAATGATTTCTCATGGACAAAATTTAGTATTACAGCCTTCATCATTTCACCATGTAAGCAAACAGCATTAATGACATTTGGCATATTACAATAACCTGTATATCACTATCTGCAGGTATTAATCATGGACCTGTGATAGCTGGGGTGATTGGAGCTCAGAAGCCCCAGTATGACATCTGGGGCAACACAGTGAATGTAGCAAGCAGAATGGACAGCACAGGAGTGCTGGGAAAAATACAGGTAAGAGGGTTTATAATAAGAGTTGTATTATTATTATTATTATTATTATTATTATTAACTGTGCAGAACCATTGTTTGCTTCTTTATTGGTTTTTAATATTTTTAATTGCCTCAAATCCTTTTACTAGATGTTTGATTACAGTTAAAGTAACTCTGTGTGTAAAACCAGTGGGTTTAGGAGAATGCTCATGCTTTGAACAACGTGTAGTGCGATGACTCATTAACCCATTTAATTCCTTTGTGTGTGTGTGTGTGTGTGTGTGTGCAGGTTACAGAAGAGACGAGTCGTATCTTGCAGACATTAGGCTACATGTGCACATGCAGAGGAATTATAAATGTGAAAGGGAAAGGAGAGCTCAAAACATACTTCGTCCACACTGAGATGAGCCGGTCTTTATCCCAGGGGAATGTAATGCCATGAAGCATAGCAACAAACATACAATGAACTGCAGACATCTACAAACGGGAATACAAGGGACATTTGTAAATAATTGCTCCTAGTCTTTAGATGCACGAAGTATTGGATGTATTGAAAGTGATACCATTTCTACTGTATCTCATAGGCAGGTTTTGTGCACACGGTACTACTGTAAGTATGGTAGCAATTATTTTGTAAGAAAATCAAATATAACAAAAAGTGTTTTGATGTTTTAATGCCATTTTTCTTTTCTTTGTTTTTCTTTTTTAAAAACTTCATTAAACTTTATATGTACTTGTCTTTCTGAGGGCATCTTTATTTTTAAGACATTTAAGAGTTTTTGATACGCTGTAGTTACAAATGACAGGAATAAGCTAGTACTTAAATGTTTCTGTGTCGTGTCACTAACATGCTGTGCATGATGTGTCACATATGTACACCAAGGGCATATAGATGTAGCTTTGGACAGTTGGGACATATCCCTATGAGAGTTGTGAATGCAATATAGTATTCTATGTTTGTATGTCTGTTTCGTGTTTTTATTCATAATGAAAATACTTTTTTCCCTTTACACATTTCATGAACACGGTGTACTGTCAAGTTGTTCTGTGCAATCTCTGTGCACCTTCTTTGAGTACTGGACCACTGTCATCAATTTCCGAGAGGTGTTTGTATATTTTCTGTTTTATTATTGTCACAAGTGGACAAATAATGGGCTAAAACAGCAGTAAAAAAAGTAGTTTTTCTGAACTTTATATTTATGCCTTAATGTATTCATTGTTCAGTTGTAGTTCGCCAAATGAAAGTAAAGTCTGACATATGATTTTTTTTTAGATTTATTTTTCGGCATTTTTGCCTTTATAGGACAGTATATATTGACAGGAAACGAGGTGTGAGAGAGAAGGGGGACAGGCTTGGGAAAGGACCGCGAGCCGGGACTCTAACTCGGGTCACCCAAAGCACAACAGCACTATATGTCTGCGCACTGCCCATGAGGCTATCAGCACTGACTACATATGAATTATTATTATTATTATTATTACAACATATAACACAATGTAATACAACGACGATTGAGAGATGTACAAATGAATGTTCCTCAAAAGCCTGATGTATCATATTTGATGCTCACATTTTAACATGATTTTTATTTAAAAAAAAATTATGTACAGATATTCAATTAATCTAAGTTGCTTCAGTGCAGTGTGTTCATCTTGAAATATTACTAACATTATATGTTATTTTTACATTTACTTTATAAAAATCATAGCAAAAGGTTTCACAAAAAGACGTGTACCACAACCAAAAGGGAATGCTTTTAGAATTATACTAAAAGGTCTTTTACTTAAAAAAAAAAGGAAAAACTATTAAAGGGCAGAAGGCATGTATTATATTGTGTACAACAGGTTTTTCAGTCAATTTTTGATAATGTTGAAACATTTAGAGACATTAGAAATGAGTGCATTACATATGATACAGTAGGCTTTACAGAGTTAGTGTGACTGTGTGTCTCTGGTTCTAAACTGTGCACAATTACTTTTTTTTTCAGTTTAGAAGTTACAACATGTATCCATGTCCCATCATGAGCACCAACTGAAAGCCATGACAACACAAAACATGCAAACTCAACACAGACAGCCCTCATTGGCTCAGTGCTGGCCTGAGAGAATTGTCAAGATGTTGACAAGATCATTTAATGAAATCAAATTTCAATAAGAAATGAGAAAATTTAAATGATAAAATGAGAGATATACAATACCATTTATTTTAAGAAATCAAATTGTAAACTGTATTTATATATAAAAAAAAAAAAAATCTTACATTTCTGTATTCTATTGGGGCCTGTACCATGAAGACATATGAATTTGAACTAATCATCTGAGCACAGTGACATCTCTGATGGAGACACACTTTAAAAATGTAGTATTGATTTGTGTTTAACTTTTAATTATATTTTTGTACTTTTTTGTACTTTGTACTCAGCATTTATATGCTGCTGTGTCTTGGCGTTAGTGTGACATCTATAATAATAATTTGATGAAGCTGTTTTGGCAACGTGCAATCAATCCATTGACCAAAAACCTGAATTTGTTTCTCTTTGTGGTACAGTCCTGTGTTCTCAAACTTGCTTGATGTTTTCTTTTCAGTGCTAGGATGATATTTGTCAAAACTAATTTTGGGTGACTGTCCATGTCTGTTTGGGTCAGATGGAAAATAACTGAATCTGAAAATCATATTCTGAAATTAATTTTACACATTAGACTGCATCTCAGAATAAATGGTCTCTTCTGAGCTGCTAAAAATGGGCTGAGGTGAATCTCTTTCACAGCTCAGACAGATAAACCTTGACTTGTACACCTGAGAGTGTTTACTGTAGGACAGTGCGCTTCAGCTGGGCTGTTAATCAGCAGGCTTACATTTGGCCTTTAATCCACAGGTTCATGCATTTAAAGACGAGACCCAGCAGATGGTCTTGAGAGGCACTCAGAAAACCATATGACAATGTACGACGACAATATTTATGATGGATTTACAGGTTTAGATGTCAAGGCGTTTGCTGTGGTTCGAAGGATCTTTCGTATGGTGCTACAGACAGCTGTGCATGTTTATTTATTCAAATGTTCAGGGTAAACATCAGTTAAAATACAGAAAAAGATCAGAAAGACAATGTCTACATTTGTACACGATCATTTTATAAGGCGATTATTTGACATCACACAGGAGGGCCACTCCTCTCAGGATCCAGTATTCTGGAGGGTGACTGGTTCTCAGGTTAACAGCTGCAATGTAGTTCAGGTCTGTTCCAACAGGCTTTTTATATATTGGACATGAGTACAAGCGAGGATCTTTGACACCTTAGGAAAGATACAGTTATATAGCAATTAGGTTTTGCATGCTTATACTAAAAGGACTATTAACTGAAAAGTTAAGAAAAAAAAATATTACTTGCAAATGTTAATCCATTGCATAGTTTAAATGAGTCCAAATCACATTAATTTAGGCTAAAATAACAATTCAACCTCCCGGGAATTAACATAAAATGCCCTCCACAAATATCGGCACACTTGGTAGCCATTGGGGAAAAATGTATTTGGTTTTTAGCATTTAATGTTACATTTAATAAAATATAGCCTTTTATTAAAGTTAAATCAATAATATAAAATAAAATAAAATAAAATTCCCCAACTATTGGCACCCCTCCAGTTAATACTCCCTTTGCAAACACTGAAAAGTACTAAAAAACTAAACTAAAACTAAAAGTGAAACTACCATGTCATTTATTTAAAGTGCATTCTTATATTGTCTTAAACTTGTTTTGTTTACTTTGTCTAAAAGCAAATGACACTTGCTGGGCTGCAGAAATGATTTTAGTACATAACAGAAAATCTTTATTCATGTTTTACATAATTTACCTGAAGTTAAGAATCTGCATATTGCAAAATAAATAAAGTATACTCTGTATGGCATATGGATATCCTCCTTTTAATCCATGTGTTTTGTCCGTATCAACTGATAATTACAATCAGGTGCATAAAATCAAGCATTCAGTCACACAATAGCTGAATTTGTAGTAACATTCTAAGCATACACTACTATTTCAGCCCAATATGAATAGTGGCTGCTTAGGTGTTAGTCTGCATTTGCCATAATATTGATTTTCTGACCTGAGTATCCAAGATCATTATTCAACCAGCTACTGTTTATTGAAGATTAATCAGTGTGACAGTCTTTGAACTAGAAGCCTGGGTCCACAAAGGGTGCCAAAAGAACATACTTTTTGTTTCTTCTTCTTGTAGTTTTAATCTCTTCTTTGTCATGTATTTCTGCTGGAACATCAGAAGGCAGCGGAGTCCAGTCCAGAGTCGTCACATGTCCTTCCAGAAGCTCCTTCGTCGAAATCGCCGGCTGTGCCGTTCTCAAGACCACCCGCCTCTGCTCACTCTAGCCCTCCGGCCGTTCCTCACTCTAGGCTGGAACATCAGAAGGCTATCTGTCTGTCTGCTTTAAATGACATTTTGTTGTTATGTTCCTTTATTTAAAGGGGTCATATGATGCGATTTCAATTTTTCCTTTCGATGCCGGTTGTTCTGACTCATGGACTGTAAGTACGTTTTTTTATATTTAAAGAGTTCGTATATTTTTTATATTTAAAGCAAGTTTTTTGGGCAGTGTAGAGTAGGGCTTGTTGTTTGTCATTTCTCCGATCACAAATGCAGACATGGTTTTATGTTTACGCGGCGCGATGCAACGCAACGCGTAAAAAGACAGTATAAGTCATTATAATCCATAATTATGTCCCCACTGGATGCAACGAATGCCTCGTTTATAATGGGTTTTCATGTTTTTGAATCATCGCTCCGGCCGGAAAGGGCAGCACAATATGGTAAGGGGCATAACATTTCCGTCACACGCTTGAGGTATTCGGCCAATCATAACGCACTGGATAGCTGGCCAATCACAGCACACCTCGCTTTTCAGACGGATGAGCTTTGTAAAAATCGACGCGTTTCAGAAAGGCGGGGCATAGAGGAGAGACAATAATGTACAGTATGTGGAAAATAATGTGTTTTTTTAACCTTAAACCGCATAAACACATTTCATTACACCAAATACACAAAATAATGTTCTTTTTAGCAACATCATATGACCCCTTTAAAATGTTTCCATTCAAACGTTTTCATTACCAAATGTTTGCAGTTCCTGCCTGTGAAGCACATTATTTCTTTGCACTTTTAAAAGTATGGAACAAAGTGTAATAGGCAAAAAAAAAACAAAAAAAAAACATCTTACCATTGTTCTCTGCATACATCCTGACCACAGGCATCATCTCGAACAGTACTTTGGGTTTTGAATCAATGAGCTTGCAGTTCCTGTGGTCCCAGCCGGCCCCTTCCAGGTAGAGGCCATAAACATATACCCCCTCTTCAGGAGGCTGCTTGATGTCATCCTTCATCCATTTTGTAACTTCATTACACAGAACCATACGGTCCAACGCCCACCCCTTGTTAGCACGAGTGATCTCCTGTCAAGTTAAATTATTAACATGTAGTGCTTGTAACTTCTTATTAAATCACTCAAAATAAATAAAAAAACTCATGTAAATCTACAGAAATATAATATAGTATAATAGATATTTAAAACTGAATAACATAAAATGAATATTAAAATATATAATCAGTAATTCAATATATTTCGCACAAAACTTCTCATTGTTTTAATGCTCAAACCAAATTAAATGTGCCTTCTTGCCCCTCAATTAAAAGAATAAACCGATCTGTGTTGGAAAAAAAAAACAAGCATTTTTAGCTGAGACTGATATGAAGCATCTGGGTTCTTTCCTTAAGTTTATTCTCAAAGCTGCAGGTGTTGGCACAGAAACACAGCTGAGAACAGAAAACAGGACAGGTGCCCAATATTAATTAAAAGAATCCTGTTTTGCGCAAGCTGTTTACCCCCAAGGCATTAGCTAGAACGTGTCCCACTGAGCAGATCCCTCACAGCCCAAAAGACCTCTAAACTCACTATTACTGATCCATTTAGGGATATCATGCATATAGAGACTAATCTGCCACTCAAAACGTATATTTAGGAAAGATTTATCCCAGATGTTTGGCATAATATATCATATTTGGTGTAAAACATTAAAAAAACAGGATGCATCAATATCCATTTTAACCCTGGAAAGCCTGACATATGAAATAACAGTTTTTATTCAGAGGCTCAAATTGAGCATAAATATGCACCAAATTTGGTGCAGTTGCTGTAATTTATATAACCAGAAAGTAAAATGAAATTATAATAACTTGTAAATCAATCATTTTTTTTATAACAGTATAACAGACTACTTTAATTAAATGCATATTAAAATCATCTGTCTTTCTATCTCCAAATAACATGTCTTAAGATGACATTTGAATGCTGAGTTTTATGACCAAAGCTCTGTAGTTTTTATTGTGGGGGCAAAACATATAATGTAATGCAATGCAATGTTGAGAGAATGATTGAGAGACAAATAAATCTTCCACAAAAGCCTGATGTTATCATACAGCATTTGATACGTACATTTTAACATGATTTTCTAAAAAAATAAACTATGGATATTTAAGTAAACCTAAGCTGCTTCAGACTGGTAAGTGTTTATCTTGAAATTCAAAAATATAAAAGTTATTCTTATATTTTCTTTATAAAAGTCATAAAAGATTTCACAGCAAAAACACAAATGTCCCATTTTGTAACGTTTATAAAATTATTCTAAAAAGTCTTTTACTTGGAAAAAAAAAAAAAAACGATACAGCAAGCTTCACAGGGTTAAAAACTACCTCACAAAGGACAAAATTCAAATGTCTTTTGTGGTAAGGGAAACATATCTGATCAGCTCAAGACATCAGGAGGGGAACAAGTACAAGCGTAAGTTTAGCAGAAGTGTTTGTGTGATAGTTATCCACCTGTCTCATAGCTGTCAGGAACCCCTGTGGGTTGAAGAAGCCTGTCATCCAAAAGCAGTTGGGTCGTCCCTCAAAAATCCAAGAGTGGAACTGCCGGTTCCGCTCCAGTAACTCTGTGAACCAAAACCCCAACATGGTGGAAGCCCAGGAGGCCTGCATACAGACACATGCACACACACACAGAAAGTCACCTAAGCGGAACCCCAGTTAACACATACAAAGATAAGATGTAAGAAGTAATACACACAAGACAGGGTTTTCAATCTGCTTTGGGCTATCAAGAATAAAAACTAGAAAAACCACCATAAAAATGATATCAAACAGCTCATTGTGTGAGAAACAGGTAAACAAATAAGTCTCCAATCGCATTTGCACTTATTCCATAAATTAGCATGTTACATTCGTTGATAAGATATACAAAAACCAATTGGTTGGTTATAAGGGTGACATTTAGGAGATTTACTAACAGCCAGCGCAAACCCTCTTTTGGCGTAAAAAAAAAAAACTACTGTCGGGATTTACTAAAGACACACAGTGAAAAATCAGTGATGAAAATTACTTCATTACATATGCATTTGTAAGAGGTTTCCCTTTCAGACACAAAATTCATGGGAGAAAAGTATTTAAATTAACCATGTAAGGTGATTTACTACGTTTGTGGTAGTCAGTTTACTAGTATTTTCACCATTATTTAACGCCACAAAGAAGCATGTCTAAACCAATTTTGCACCTGTGTTATTAGCAGATTTCCTGCACCTGATTATCTTTGGCCCCACACTAATTTGTGCTGCTCTTGGTAGATTGTAATGGTTATTATGGAAATGAGCTGGCGCATCTGTGTTCTTTAATTTGCACATTGCCAGCAGATCCCCCACAGAACTTTCTACTCCCATCGACACTTCGACACTACTGTTTTATTTCCTATTTGGATTTATGTATATGCTTTATTTTTTTAAGATTAACTGTTAGATGCCAGTGTTTCCTGTCATAACTATATAAATATTTGATTTCAAAAACAGTATCATAGCTACTAAACTATTTATTGTTATCATTTAAAATCTGTATTTAACCTCAGAATCATCTCAAAGTAAGAAGAGGTGCTGGCGGCTGTGCATTAAATTATATTATTATAATCTTAATTCAAGTGATGAAGGATTTTGAAAGTCTGACAGTAATCAGTGTTGAGTACTACTGTAAGTTTAACCCTGCCTGATTTAAATGTTTCAAAATGATTAACGGTTGAAAACATTTGTTATAAATTTAGAAAAGAAATCAAAAGGTAATCAAATGTAATCAGTTGCATTACTTTAATAAAGTAATTGAAATAGTTACACTGCTTATTACATTTTAAATAGGGTAACTTGTAATCTGTAACCTATTACATTTCCAAAGTAATCTTCCCAACACTGTGTATATATATATATATATATATACACACACACATGTGGCATGCAAATATGTTTTTACAGACGTCCCCGTCAGAAACCATTATTATCCAAATAGGGCTAAAGAGACCAAAGATACCTTTTGGATAGGCCTACACTAAGTGAAAGTACAAAACAGTCTAATAAGGTATTTACTGTATGCACAAACAAATGCAACAGACACTTAAAATTCACACGTCAACACACGTGCACATGCAGGGTAAGTTACAGCCTGATTGTTATTCAGAAGGCAGTATTTTCAATTAGCTTATGATTAGCTCAGCTTGAGTAGTATATGAAAAGCAGAGTTAAATGAAGCTGTTGTGCTGCTTGGCTGTAGTTCATGTGAGGAGTTATATAAACCCGTTTGGTAAGCTTGAGCCCAGAACCTCAGGGTTTGATAAACAGATATAATTTATAAAACATATATAAATGGCTCCAAAATGTTAAGTTCAAAGCTAAATAGTTCAAACGGTATACTGTATATGCACACATGACTGCACATAAAATATGCCAATACATTTTTTTTAAAATGTGTATTATTATGGGCAAGTCATTATATTGAACTTCCTCACATTTTATGGGCCTTATGAAATCCATTTTATTTTTTCAAAATTCTGTTTTCTGTGTTTTTTTTCTGGATTCTATTTTTAATGCTTTAATTACATTTTAGTAATGAAAACAGATGTCTAATCAACTGACTTTTTATAAAACTTGTTTATAAAACAATGTAAAGGCTCAAAAATATAATAAAATGTAATTACATTAATCCCTCTAATCCCCCATTTAATCCACTGTCTAATGTCTGCTGCAGCAACTTCCCGCATTCATGCATCTTTTGTCATGAATCTGCAAACCCTTCACACATTTTGAATGAGCATTCTTTAATAGTACCAATAAAGCAAATGTGCTAAATACACAATAACCAGGATTTGAATTTATCATCAGTAAATCCAATTTATTTCAATCACATACATTAACTAACTGAATCTTTCTTGTTCCAAAGCTAGCCATATTTAAACAATGTAAAAACATTTAAATAATATAGAATAAAATAGATGCAAATAATTAATAAACTATGCTTGCATGATTCATTTTTTTGAGTGCATAAAGGTCTATAATTGGATTCTAAATTTAAATATTCTTGCAATCTTGCAATCAATTTTCACATGATATCAACAACCATTATAAGAGCTTACTCTCATTAGCTACAAAAGCTAAAGCATCTTGCATGATTTTGATAAATGGATGCATGTTCTCCCACATCTCTCTTCCTTTTTGAAGAGCAATCCTGATTAAAGTTGTTTATTAGTTGATTAATTAATGCATTCAGCATTGTGTACCAGCTATACAAGTCGTTTCGCATTATACATTCATTCATCATAATTTCCATTCAACACAAAGCTTCCAGTAGACAACATGTGCTTAGAGAGATGCATAGCTGAATGAAAGCTAGCGTAACATGTCCCCCCCCTTTTTTTCTTCTTTTTTTAAGCAAAATGTCTTGCATGTTTCTCAAGGAGCTTTGGTATGTGGTTTCATTCACTAATGGTGATAACAGCATTGTGTGTTACACACTGAACAATGCTTTGGCGTGTATGCTGTGACTGCACGGACTGGCTCCTGCCATGTTTGTCATTGAGTCTGAGAGAATCATCTTGATGTGAGTTGGGGCTAAAATCATCCATCACAATCAGCTCAGACAGAATAAAGATCAGCCGTACTCTGCCGGCAGCTGTGCTATTTCTCTCACGAGGACACCACTGCTTTACATGACTCACTGCTTTTAATGAACAACTGGAATAAGGCCAGTGGGCTGACTGGGCTGAGGCTGGTTATGTTCCTCTTGGCACCTGAATAACTATTATGAGGTAGTGTTTATTCACACATATACAAACATACTGATTACATTACAGTTGACAAAAGATGGGCCTTTTTTATACTGGAAGTAAAGACACATATTTTTTGTCAGACTTCTCTTTTGGTCTTCACTTTCTGTTAGCATATACAAACTGTGCCAGATGCGACTTGGGTCATGAATATGAATTACTTTATGTTTGCCCCAACTCATTTACTAAAAGAGGGCTGTTGGTAGACCTGTACAGTAGTATTACAATTTACTGTCTGCTCTTGTTAAACCCATTGCTAACATGATTGTCAGAGACTTCTGAGTGAGAAAAAAATAAGAACTTGCACTGAAGTTGAAACGAACACTTGATTTAGATTTAGATGTAGATGAAGACACTTAAATTTACAGTTTATGATTGCAAATGTAAATACAATACAGCTTATACACTTCTATGGCAAGGTACTTTGCATTATGCAAAGCGGTTGCCTAATTTATGTCTAGAAGATGTACAGGGAATTTGTTTCTACTTGGAGCAGTTTATTTATTTATTTTTAAGTACTGGTACTCAGTATTGGCTGATTTTATTGCAAATGTTTACTGGTGCCAATCTGTTGTGAATCTGACTAGCCAGCAGCCCACAGTGTTGTAATACACCACCACTGTCTATCTGCCAACACACTGTCTCACCTCAATCTCTCACCTCTTTCTAGTGACAAAATCTGTATAACAAATAGTACTGACTCCAAAGGGACAAAATGAGCAGTTTCATTGGAACCTTGTATCTCACCTGCACATATCGGAGGTACTGGTCCACGCTATTGCATCTGGGAATACTGTAGCCTTTGTAGAAGTTGAAATCAGGGCTGAACATGTTCTCATTGAACCACACCTTTGCAAAGGTGTTCAAGAGGCGCTTGTCATAGTCATCAGTCACCCTACCACCATACTGGATCTCGCTGATCATGTATCGTACGGTGTTCCAGGACACACCCTGTAAAAAAACTCATTCAAATTAAAATGCCAGGTGCTAAGTCTATTTGGAAACTTTTTGCATAGACCCTTGACAAAGTTGACAGATTAAATCATATACTTTTGTTTCATACAATTTATGTAATAGAATTTGCCTACAGAGGTGGAAAAAGCTGATATGTCCATGTCATACTTCAATACTAAAGCAAAAGAAGGACATTTGACTAGAATCCACATAATTCATAATGAACTCCAAGTTCCCTTTCAGTCGGTCACTCTCGACGTCATGTCGGTAATGACCGACGAATTGGGATCTCGCTTAGAGAGACCAATCAACTTCGAGTGTAAACTAAACAAGCCAATGCACATTGGCATGCGATGATTGCATCCAGCTGCCGCTGATCGCAGCGCGACTATAACTAGGCAGCAGGTGCAATGCATACTCAGTTTTTCGCTTGGAGCCGAGCGGTCATATCGTTCTGCTCCTGACTTTTTCTGCTTGAGGAAGACTGAATGAGTTCAGCGTGCTCTTTGAAGAGCTCTGGTGTTGGCGGTACGGCACTTCAGTGGTGGTGGTTTCCTGTGTCAAGTGGATTGCACACATCAGGCTGCACTCCCCCCTGTTTGTGTTGCAAGCGACAATCTCCCCTGTGCGCTTCAGCACATTAAAAGAGCAACTTCTAAAAGAGCATTCACAGGTGGACGTCTTTTTAAAGACGACGTTGCATCTGTACCACTCGAAGCTGCGACTTTGTAAAGACAATGTTGGGTCTGGGTATAGATGCCGTTCCACCTGTGCGTTTCTGGATGTGGTCATTACCTGGCGCCGGGTGATGTAACGATCGCTGCCTCACATGTCTGGGTGTTAAGCACGCTGAGGCAGCATTTGTGGATGAGTCATGCTCTCATTGCGGGAGGATGACCGTCGCAGATTTGCGGACCAGGCTCTGTTTCCTGCAAAGGGGTGGAGTACCCGTGTCTCTGCCTAGATCTAGTGTTCCCCCTGGCATAAGCCGGGGGGGGGGGGGTTACTTCTGGCAGTTGTCGGACTGGTCTTACGGTGATGGTGAGGAATTACCCTCCGAGGAACCAACCTCCGAGGGCTTCTCCTTCCACCGGTACTTCGCAGCCAGTGGAGCTGCCCAAGCAACGGGCTGGACCCTCCCATGGGGTACCACTTGTATCCTTCGGCGCTCCCCCCGACGATCGGATGATGATCGCTGCATCGGAGGGTGAGTCAGACTCTGCTGTAGATGATGATCCGGCAGTGCTGCCGCCTTCTGGGCGGTCAGCGATGCCGGATTCTGATCCGGAGATGATGGCTATGCTTGCCCGGGCTGCCGAGAGGGTTGGGCTCGAATTGAAGCCTCCACCACGTCCCGAACCCTCGAGGCTGGACGATTGGTTTCTCGGGGGGTGGCACACGCTGGTTCTCAGGGCCCCACCCCGGTGCCTTTCTTTCCGGAGGTGCATGATGAGCTCACTGGATCATGGATGGCACCTTTCACTGCCAGAAACCGTTCCAGTGACGCCCCTCTGTCCCAGACCGGCCTTTTCGGCGACTCGGTGGAGAATTTCACCCAGTAGTTCTCCGCTGCACAGAAGCAGATCGAGGCCATCAAGCACATCCTGCAGCTGCTACCTCCACCCGGCCGTCCCATCTTCCGCACAGCAAACGCAGCAGCCTCCAGCAAAGCAGCACCATGGAGCCGGTCACAGGGCAGTCACCCCGCCCGTCAATGCCCCCGCCAAACCCGGCGGCAAGTGGAGGAGCAAGAAGCCCTGAGATGGTCGACACAGAGATGAAGAAGTCTGCTCTTCGGGAGATGGTGAATGCACCACTCCCTCCCCTGGAGGAGGGCCGGATGGAGAATCTTTTGTTTAATTTTTTCCCACCACTGACTTCACGGTCAGTGGTACCCAAAACCTTGACAAAAGAGCAGTTTTCTCTATCTCTAGGTCCCCAGATCGGATGGGGAGTTGTGGCAATCCCGGATCACACTCGCCAGTGAGCAGCAGTGGGTGCTTCGAGAGTGTGACTCACGCACCCTCTGCCCGAATGCAGGTAGGTGTTGCACACACTCAGACCCTGCTTCGGACCTGCTACGAGACCCCCGGGCTGGGTCCCTGCTTTCCTCTTCGCTGGCCTACTGCGGGTATGTCAGTGGTTCCGTTGGTGCCACTGTGCGGTATCTGGGGGCCTGGCTAGATCCTGCAGACCATCAGACTCAGCTATGCGATTCAGTTTGTCCGGCATCCCCCCAAGTTCAGGGGCATCCACTTCACTTCCGTGAGGGTTGCAGATGCCCGTCTTGCGTGCAGAAATCGCAGTCCTACTGGTGAAGGAAGCGATAGAGCCGGTCCCTCCAGCCGATATGAAGACGGGGTTATACAGCCCTTACTTCATTGTACCCAACTATGGAGTTGGATTCGGTCGAACAGACAGCACGCCTCATGCAGGAACGTGCTCAGTAGGTGTTGAACTGCCTGAATATGTTCAAGAGCAGGACGGCGGTCCCACTGAAACAGTTTCAGAGGCTCCTGGGTCATATGGCAGCTGCAGTGGCAGTCAAGCCGCTGTGGCTGCTTCATATGAGATCGCTTCAACACTGGCTCCATGGCCGATTCCCGAGGTGGGCGTGGCAACGCGGCATTCAAAGGCCTGAATGCCTTGATTCAAGTCACACCGGCTTGCCACCAAATCTTCACCCCAAATCTTCAGAACTTGCGTTTCTCCAGGCAGGAGTGCCCCTAGAGCAGGTCTCCAGGCATGCTGTGGTTCACACGGATGCCTCTGCTACCGGCTGGGGGGCCACGTACGACAGGCTTGCAGTGTTGGGGCCTGCGCAAGTATGTGTTTCCCCCAGTGAGCCTTCTCACACAGACACTAAAACCCAGCCCTAGCTTTGCGTTGTCTCGTCCGAGCCTTGAGATGGTACGTAGACCGGACACAAAGCTTTAGGACCTCAGATCAGCTCTTTGTCTGATATAGTGTTGGCTTGCTAAAACTGCTCCAGAGTGTCCGTGCTGTAGACCCTGTCGAGCTCCTCCATCCCCTCGGCAGCCAGACATGCTTGGTAGTCAGGTTCCTTAGGGGGGCGAGAAGGTTAAATCCTCCCCGACCACCTTCTATACCCTCTTGGGACATGACCTGAGGACCCGGCCCGGCTACGTGCCCAAAGTTCCTACTACCCCCTTCAGGGATCAGGTAGTGAACCTGCAAGCACTGCCCCTGGAGGAGGAAACCCTGTCGAGCTCCTCCATCCCCTCGGCAGCCAGACATGGCAGAACATCCGGTGCCAGGCCCTCACTCGATGAATCCATGAGAACCGGTAGAGGGCTGGGTTCCATATGTAGAGACCTAAGTGGATCCCATATGTGTAAATTCCACCGCATATCCTCAGAGCCCATGTTTCCCCGGCAGACTTTCTGCCATTTTCTAAGAGAGTTACAATCACCTCTAATCTTCCATATGCACCTAAACAGTTGTTCATATGTGTAAGTGCTTCCGAAACCTCCTTCGGAAAGGATGGGGCTTCCACAACGTTCCTGTTCCAAGTGGTACGGGTATGTTTTCCCAGTGTTATCCAATCTCGCTGAGTGGGTAGTGCTACGACAACAGTGACTAGCCTTCTTGCTGCGAGCCCCGACCTACGCCGAAAAAGGGGCACAGGAGGCTCGCACAGGACACTGGAAGGGGCAGCATCCATGGCATTTTGGTAGGGATTCCAATTCATCGGTCATTACCGACGTGATGTCGAGAGTGACCGACTGAAAGGGAACATCTCAGTTGCGTATGTAACCCTCGTTCACTGAAGGCTGTACCACCGCTGAGCGGCTGGGTCAACGGCTTGGCTCCTCAGTGAAAACCTGAGTATGCGTTGCACCTGCTGCTTAGATATACTCGCACTGCGATCAGCGGCAGCTGGATGCAATCATCATCGCATGCCAATGTGCATTGGCTCGTTTAGATTACACTGAAAGTGGATTGGTCTCTCTAAGCGAGATCCCAATTCGTCGGTCATTAACGATGTGATGTCTCTGTTCCCTCCTTCAGGGAACGAGGGTTACATACCTAACCGAGACGGGGTTTTTTTTAGTTCATGTGACAAGATTAAAGGTGTATAATTATAGAAATTATCTTTAAATCTCAGCACCGATTAAACCAAAAACTTTTTTGGAATGTGTTTATGACTTATTTGGTTGATTTCATTTTTATTTAATAATTGTGATGCCAGTAACACAGCTGCTCCATAATGCAACTCTCACCTTCTTGGTGTCTATATCATCCAGGTGATTCTGGACAAACTGTATCGTTGCATTGAAGTCAGCCTGGTTGAACTCATATGGAATGTTCCAACCTAAAGGTCCAAATTTTCGCCTCTCTTGGACAGTGGAATGGAGGAATGTCACACCGTACAACATGGGCCTCCACTGGACCATGTTACTCACATCAAGAAAATCCTGACTGATACCTGGAAGACATTATTAGGCAACACCAATTTCAAGACTTTTATAATTATTAACACAACCCACACATACCTTTTTATTCATGAAACTGACATATCATTAACTTGATTAACTTTGAATAATGAGGCTCTTCTATAAACAATCATCCAGCCCAGATTTCTATAGCTCCATTAATGTTTCTAATCCATCAGTAGCCTCAAGTGATGGTTGAATCTTTCATCTCAAACAGGCAGAGTAAAAAAAGCTTCTAAGATAGCCTGAGCTTGACATAGAGTCATGGAAAACTGACAGCTGAAGAAAGACAAAATATCCAGAGATGCCAGGCTCACCTCCATAAGTCCTCTTAAGTCCAGCTTTCAGTCCCTGAGGAGGCTCGTTGGTAAATTTGATTGACATTTGCAGGAGAGTGATAGGAAAGTGTCTGTGGACCTCAGTGGTCATCCACAGTCTGAAGGTGTCATGAACGCTGTCCGTCTCTGTGATTGTATCCATGAGTTCATCCATAAAATGCAGACCCAAATGACAGTTTTGAAGTAAAGCCCAGCCTCCCTAATAGAAAAAAAATCAACACTTTTGGGGGGAATCAGCCTAGGAATGGCTTATTGTTGTTTCTGAATATATTAAGCTGGCACAGGAGCAAGTTTTAACATCAAAAATGGTTGAGTATGTACATACATTAGCCATGGAGTGCTGCAGAAGTTTGCGTGCATGAACTTCCTGCCCTTGTCCCATTGAGACGTAACGAGTTTCAATTCTCTGTCGTTTACCCAGGGCTATGATTGGGTCTGTTGGGTCTGAACCCATGGACAGGAAGCAGATGAGAGGAGTGCGAGGGTCCGACTCCTCCCAGGTCTTCTCCAGGTCCAGAATCACTCCCTCAGCGTATCTCTCCCCCATTGAGTGCATTATGTACTTTCGTGCCTTTCAATTACACAATAAAAAACAAGTAATTAGCCTGATGCAATTAAAGGTGGTCACATTTATTTATATAGTGCTTTATATAATACAGATTTGTTCAAAGCAGTTTTACAGATATAAACAGAAAAACAGTGTTGCAAAATTCAACTGTTACAAAGTAACTTCAATTTTAGCTGTAAAGCAGCTCTACAAAATATTACTCAGCTTAATTTAGTACAATGTTGATTCAGTTAGTTCAATAACAGAGTCAATATTACAAAGTATCACTCAATTTAGTTCAAATTTGATCCGGTTCAATTCAGTACCAGTGCTATTGTTGTTCATCAATTGTGAAACTAGTTCAAAGACAGCTCTACTGAAGACAATATTATCCAGCTCAATTCAGTTAAAGTTTTGCTGTCATCCGATAGTGCAGTCACATCGATAGTGATAATTGTCTTTTAAGCCCTAAATGAGCTGAAACTCCATTAGGTGATAGCAGAGGTGAAAAGGGAAAAACCACCATTGACTGTCATAAAAAAATATTGTCACACTGACTTCATTATGATTACATTCATACCTGAGCAATGGTTCTATCTGGACACCAGGATCGAATAAGAAGCAGTCGTCTGAAACAGTCCAAAGCCTGGTCATATGCATTTGGGATTGGTTCTTCTCCTGGTGCTTCTCGATCAAACCAGCTCTTCCACTGTTTCTCATGACGCGCAATCTGTTAATGCACATACACACATGTACACAAAAGTAAACGATTCTGATAATTATTTGGACAGCTGACATGAAATTGTTTTGAGACGTTGTCATGTTCTGTTATACAACTTTAAAACCTAATAATCACAATTTAAACAGCATTTTTGTTTATTTTATAGTTTTACACTTTTAGGTTTTTTAAAAAGAGTCAAAATATATGACCTCATATTATTTACTGAACCATAAAGGGATAGTTGAACCGAAAATGCAAATTCTGCTATCTTTAACATCTGCATGACTTTATTCTGCAGATATTTTGAAGATGTTGGTAACCACTCAGCTTTGGTTACCATTGACTTTCGCTTTTTGGACAAAAAGCACTTATTTCTTATGAGTCATGTCTCAAAATATATTATTTTATGGCCTATAGAAATGTTTGGTACAACATGAGGGAGAGTAAATTATGACAGAATTTTATAATGTATTTTTTATATTTATTTTTATATTTAAAATGTTTATTTTATATTTATTTATACTTTAATATATTATATAGCATCAACAATGAAATGGTTTGGACTTTCAACAGTTCAATAAACTATACATAAAATAAAAATATTCTGAATGTTTTGTCTGATCAAAAATCATTCAAAGGCAAAGACTGAACATAATGAGACTTGGATAGCTTGGATTTCTGGTATGTCATGACATATATTGTATAATGCATTCTTGTGTGTGGATTAACAGTTTTCCTGTAGTTGCAGTGCTCCAGAAATGGTTAATTAAACAAAAGGCTTTTAATCTGATTTCTTTCAGCCACAAGTAATTGATTTAGAGTTTGCCAAAGTGAGCTCATTTCACACTGCATTGAGCATGAAGTTCCCTTGGGCAGTCATGGCCTGCCAATCAGCCGTCAGTGTGAGTGGCTGTGAATGTATTTGTGCCTCTGTGTGTGTGTGTACAAGATGAACATTGACATGTTTACTGCAAAGCGGGAGCAGTGAGATAGATTTAATCAGGAAAGGGAGCTCAAAGTGACAGATACTCTCTCTGTGTGTGTGTGTGTGTGTGTGTGTGTGTGTGTGTGTGTGTGTCTTCCATGTGCTGATGTGTCTGATCCTTTAAGAAACCATGTGTGTATAAGTGTGACCACACACCTGATCTAGAATGTGAGAGAACTGCCACAGCTTGCTCAGCTCCACCAGGTTAAGCCATGTTATGTCCAGGATCCACTTTGCAGCTTTGGGTGGACAGGCCTTCAGGTCCAACGAAGCACCTCCTGGACGACATAAAAAAAAACAGATCACATGTAGTGCTTCCTGCCTTGTTCTTATTATGATGTTTTATTTATTTATTTGCCTGTTTGTTTGTTTATTGAAGCTATTATTGCATGTTGTTGACTATGTTCAGAATGGAATACCAGCTGACTTAATATACTATATTCTTTTTTTTAAGTATTACGTGAAACAGTAAGGTTGTATAGATTAATATGAACTAACAATAAGCAATGCTTATTAAGCCATTATTATTTATTAAAGTTATATTCTTATTAGCTCCATTTGTAAGAATTAACAACTTAGAAATTCATTAAGGGAATGAAATTCCTATCAAATAATATTCTAACAATAATTATAATTTGATTCACAGGTTATTAAATGTTAAATCATAAAAAAAATGTGTATATATATGTTTATTTTTTTATTTTTTTACCGGTTTGAATTTAAATGAGTTAGAGTTTGGGGTATCAGATAGACAGATGTTAAAACAAAAACTGTTATAACCATTCCCAGTCTCCCACAAATCGTCTGTGGAATTTATATTCCTGTATTCACATCTTGTCTATTGTTGTTTGTTGTTATACTTGTTATTTATTGAGTTTTTGGGTTTAGTCTTGCCTTGTTTTGAGTATAGTTAACTGAAATATTGACTTCTTCCTATTTTTGAATTAATAACATACCTATTTTCTTACAATTATCTTGCCTAAACAAAGAAGTTCTTCTCTGTTCTTGGAACACTAAATTGCAATGGTACATACGTAGGGACCTCTTATTGCAAATACAATATCTCGTTATGATTGCAAGAAAAGCTCACGTCTTATTGAAACCGAATGAGACAAACAGTGCAGCAAAGAGGGGGAAAGTGGCTCTCACAAGAGTGCATTAAAGAGCAGAATGGTATTAACTGGCTTGACGTGCACTGTTAGCACAGGGAATCAAATTGACCTTCTAGGTAATGGGCCACTTCTCTGACCACAAGACTACCTGGTCTCTCAGTGATTAGCTAAATTTCGGATCTGATGCTTTTATGAAGCAAAACCACATGAACCAGCATGATAATCACATAGTAGTTCATCAATCTGCAGACTCGCCAAGGACTCCTTTTGAACAACATGTACAGATCGCAAATTGCAAAGAGCCAATAAATATGATTTTGGAAAGCATGTTACCCAGAAAAAAAGGTATTCACAAAAGCTTCTAATGGCAAATCCACAGTCGGCTCTCTCCTCATTCTCGTTATTGTGCTTTTGGTTTGAAATCTCAATGTACCCAAGACCATGTTTTTTAATATATCATTTAGAAATTACAGTCTCTTGTCAATGTCTGTATGTATGAATTTGTTCTTGATTCTGGGCCCAATACAAGTTAAACTATATCGGCAGCATCTGTGGCATGCTATCGATTACCGCAGAATTACTTCTACTAGTCATTCCACAGCAAAAGCAGTTTGTTAAAGAATTTATATAGACATATTCTGTACAAAAATGTGCTATGTGATCAAGATTTCTAAATAGTCTTGGAGTGATGGAAATACGATATTAAGATAATTCATTTCTGGTCTATGCAAACACTGCAGACAGGCATGTCTATATCCATATATATTATTCTTTCATGTATCACATGAATGTTGCTATGTTTGCCAGGTTTACATGATCACAACAGGAGCTAAAATTATATCACATTAATAGCTCTAGAAGCCTAGCCTGAAGTGTTCCTGCTGCTCAGCTCTGCCTGTACCTGCGGCTCCAACAGACTGCCTTAACACCTCTCTCTGTACCCCATTAATAATGGATTTATATATCCATTAGTATAATATTTAAACTGTGTCTGAACTTATGTATTTGAGATGTACTGTAAAATTCAGCAGCAAGTCACAAAGACTTGTTCATAACTGTTGACCAAGAATATTGGTAGACCGATTACTCTCTTACTGAAGATCCTAGAAAACAGAGAAACTGAAGAAGAAGGAGAAAGATTTTGACCAGGCCAGAGAAACAGAGGGGAAAAAAAGAGTGAGAGAGACTCGTGGGAGCCGGGAAGCTTTCTGACCTTTAATGAGGGTCAGAAACTCCTCGTGTTTGACCCTGTTGCTTTGCATGTCGATCTTGAGAGTGAGCAGCAGGGTGAACAGGAATTTGTGTTCTTCGTACAAACCCCGAGCTGCGTAAGGTCATGTACTCGATGATGTTGGTGATCCGCTTACTTGTAATTGGACTCTTTGAGGACCTACTCCCCAAGAAAAAGACACAAGGTTACAAAAGATTTACTGATAACAAACTCATGTAGAAGCTTACTCACTGCACTTTCACATCTCACATGGACAGTATGACCAACAAGCACTATGCTATGACATCAGTATCATGTGAATGTACATTTTATTATCGCCCCAACATTTCATGGTGGGGTCAATGTAAGCACAATATGGGCTTGAGGTATAGGCCTCAAATGGGTTTGTTCACCATGTTGGCCTTATTTTAACTTGTCCCAGTCTAAATTAGCTCATATATCTCATACAGAACCTGTCTGGGACTAGTTCAGAGTAAAAAAAAAAACATCTGGGGCCCATACCTCAAGTCTACATTTCACATGATGACATGATAACTGGGTGATAAAGACAAGAAAACAGTTTAGTCACATGCCATTTTGAGAAACTAATTTAAATGGGGTATGAAATGACAAATGAGTTTTACTTGGCCAAGGACAAGTCGAACAAGCCCAGGAACTGGCGTAGAGAGGTCTGATACATCACGTTCACCATGCTCATCTCCGTGATCAGAAAGTATAAAATGCTTCCTCTTGTAGCAACTACACACAGAAAAAGAAGGTGTCAACAAAGGCCTTGTTTACATCTGGTATTAACATCCATCTGAGATACAACTAGACATGGCCCCTTTGTCAGTGAACCTTGAAAGAAGGGTCTTATTTTGTGACTTATTGCATCTGGATCTGACTGCATGATTAAAACCAGGGTTTCTCAAGCAATTTTGAGTCTCTTCAGTGATTTCTTACTGCTCAGCTCTGAAATACTTGATTCTGATTGGTCATTCATGATAGGCCCGTGTCTTGAGGTACTACGTGGAAGTGCTGCAATGCATGCAAGCCCCTCGTTTGCTATTCAAATCTATGAATCAACCAACATTTTGGTTGTGATAACAGATGAGTGTTTCCACTGCCTGGATCACTATTTCACACAGAATGGCCTTGATTGGAAAAATTGCGTAGGACTTTAAACAAATGGTGTGGTCTCAATGACTGATAAGCATGATGGGGTTGGTATGAAAAGTTTGGAAAAGCATCTGAGGTGGAATTGTTCCACTGTTTTTACACAGCATTTAGCAAATGCAATGTCAGTGATAGACATTACTGACAAAACTATTAACCTTGGGAAGAACAATTCATTTTTAGGTTAGTTTGGTTTCAGTCTTGTGTGACCAATTAAAATCAGACAATTGTAAAGTGGCTGTCACAATGAAAAGTTTCAAGAAGTTTTAAGTTGTCTTTTCAAATTTACCAGCAGGTGCACACATATCTGAAGGATACATTTCACTGCATCTGGATACCATATCAGACTGACAGTCTCAAGTGTGACATTAAATCTTCAATAAAAGTTTGTTTATCACAGTCTGCTTAATGATTTAAAATGTTTGTGCAATAATTCAATTAATTAGGATATAATAAGCAAATGGATCTAAAATTAAGCCTAGACAGTACAGTACAATTTACTTCTTTAATTGTTGCTCGCAAAAAAAAAAAAAGGGCGAGGAGGGGGGGTTGTGTAAAGAATTTCAGTCAGCAGCAATGGTTGATTAAAAGATCAGTAGGCATTTGTTACATTAAGTTTTACAGCTTGTGGTTATTCTGATAATTGTCACATTGTAAGACTAACAAACTAGAAAGGATGCAACTGCTCCATGTATCACTAAAGGAAAAATGCTCCGTGCTCCATGTATCACTAAAAAAATCACTAAAGGAAAGACAAGCTCTAAGCCCCCACCGGGTCTATATTCCTCACGGGCCGCATTGATCTGGATCTCAGTCTCAGCAGCGATCTGGAGTTTCTGTGTGACCAGCACTGTGATGAGGCTCTCGTCATCCACCAGGGAGCCCTGCGTGCTAGTCAGCCTAAAAAGTAAATTATCCTCCAGTTCCTTCATTTTACGTTTATTGGCCATCACATCCTCCAGCAGGTCAATCCGCTCCTTCTCCAGTTCCTGACAAATCCAGAAACATCACACAGTCATTTCTCACCACACAAACATCTTTATAATTTGGCTATTAATTGGCATATACATTTTTGTGATTATCGATTTAATTGCCTGTTTTGTTTATGTTGTTTAATCCTGCTGCACAGGGACAGAATGACATGAACAAAATGTAATAAAAAAATATTAACATGTCTAAAATGTTCTTTTGGGGCTATACAGCCCTGATCTACTTTTCATTCATACTTATATTTTTGGAGCCCAACCCAAAAATCACATTGTAGTAGTATACTGTAATGTCAATTATGATTATCTTTATTCTAAAATATTAAAATCTGATTATTCAGTAGTAATACATTTCAATCCTACATTAGTCTTTTCTGCATATTTTAAGGTGGCCTGATTAATGAGGCTTTATTTATAAATCAGTGTTTAAATTTTTTTTTTCATGATGATAAAACATTCACATGATTAAGATGTATTATCTTTTTTTTCAGACAGCACAAGTTTATTAACACTTTAAATACATTATTTGTCATAGAATGTTTAAATTATTTTGTTTAAAACAATATTTTACAATAATGTAACTGAAATGACTTTGAACATTCAGGGTTTTACAAAAGGTCAAACATTGAAAAATTTTGAATTTTAAAAGAACCCAGCAACATACAAAGGTATGTCAACAGCCATTTCCTGTTTCTACTCCACACACACACACACACACACACACACACACACACACAAAAGTCCTCTGTCAAAGGTACTTGAGCGGAAATGTTATCTGGTAAATACACAGTACATGTCAATGACTTACACTACATATTTTAATGCAGTTTAGTAAACCTTTGACATAAAAATGTTAAAAACAGATAACAGATCAGTGTCAAGGTGCTGAGCCATGAGACCTGAGTCAAATACCTAAATTTCCATCTTCAGAATAGTATGATAGTATAGTGTGCAGTCAATTTTGCTCGGTTAGCTTTCACAATCCTAGCATTACCAGTCAAATGCTTTTTTGCTTGCTGTCCAATTGTACCTTTTCAGTTCCCCATCAGGCAGAGATGACTAACTAGCCTCAGGAGAGGTCATGAAGCTATTATACAGTAATTCAGATTGGTGCTGGGTGGCATGTGGATCTGTACTCTTATTAGGCTGAGTGTAAAGAGGTGATATGGGTTTCAGGCCCTTATTCCTGATTGACAAATCAATGTCCAGCAGTGAATATGTTCTGAATGCCACTTTAATTTCTTCACCTGGGAATCTGCAGGCGCTATCAAAGCCCATCTGACTGTGCTAGGCTGAAATGAGCTGAGATGACAGCGATTCTCCATAACAATGTGCAGTACTGCAAGATACCTGTAGCTTTGATTTAGTTCCTTCTTAAGCTTGACATAGCTGTGGGTTCCAATTTGAGGTGCTATGCACATACTGTATATTCTATGTCAAGCACCATAAAACTTACAACACCAGCGATATTTTTGATGGCAAGATTTCTTTTGAATTATGTTTATCTTTCTTTTCATTTTAAGAATAAACTTCACTAAAATGTGTTCAGCCTTAATGAATAAAAACAAACAATACTATGCCAAATTTATTTGTATAGTGCTTTTTACAATACACTGTTTCAAAGCAGCTTTACAGAAAATCATGTTGTTATTATATCAGTAACATTTTACAACAACGTCTAACATTAGTCAATGCATTAGTTAACATGAACTAACTATGAGCAACATATTTTTACAAGATTAATAATAATAGCTTATAACCTAACCCTAATGTTTTATTTGGCAGATTAGAGTTGGGCAATGCATACATACTTTTTGCGACAATCTACCAGTATATATTATATATATCGTCCTAAGCAAGTATACCGTATGACTATCATAGCCAAGATTTGTTATAGTATATATTGCTTTACTTGAGTATAATGTATGTATGCAAGTATTATATCCAGTATAGTACTATATCCAGTAATATATCCAGTTATTGATATATCAATGGGCAATAATAGAGTTTACATTTGATGATACATTTGTTGATTTGTCAATATAACAATCAAACAGTTGATTTTTGCTATATAGTATGTCTCGAGTACTGTTTGTCAGTGGGTATGGTTGGATATACTTGTAGTAGAAACTACATTTTCAAAAATTAAATGCATTACTTCTTCAATCAATATTTTAAATGGAATCATTTTTAGCAGTGCTGATGATGAAACAACAGAGATTTGTTAGATAAAACACTTCTCTATGACTATGTTGAATTTTAGTAGTCTTTCAGTGTACAAAGATTTGAAATTCACGCTCTTTGTCCAGTGACCCTAAAAATTGACCGAAGCACTCTCTCTCTCTGGCTTGCTGTGCCATAGAAACATGTCTCTGAGATTTTCTCTTTTTCTCATGTAGGACCATAGGGACCTTTATGAGGAACACCAGAGTATAAGTGAAAAAAGCATATCTTTGAATGTACCACCAAAAGGTTTAAATAGCCTTTTCTAAAGCATGGCTTTACACAACTTCACATTGCATGTCAAGCATTATCTGAAATTACAGTACAATTAACCTAAGTGACTTACAAATGTGAAAAAGAAAAACAGTCTATTTATGTAAAAAAAAAAAAAAAAACCCACTGGTCATTTCGGCAGTAGACTGAATGATGCTCAAGCGGTGAGTGGTAATCTACTTTGGCTAGTAGTGGCCAATTACCTGCCTTTCAGCAAGGACTAATGGTTGAATGTTACATCACCTAATTGCTATTCATAAGCCAAGCTATAAAAGTTTAAAATAGCCCCCCAACACACATTTCAGATCATTATTATACCAATTTTTTAACACACAAGTTCACTTTCAAAGGGCCCATACCTGTTTCTCAGTGAGAATAACTCTTCCCAGTAGCTGATCTTCCAGGCCCCTCATAGTAACGGTGAAGTCGATAATGGATGTCCGTGCGCTGATCTCAGGAGTGTATGCTGGGTTGGACAGCTTGGTGGTCACATAGAGACGGAAACCCTTCATTACATCCACTTCTTTATCACCTACTTTCACCTGATGACAATAATGATTCAGAGATTTAAAACTCAGAGTGAAGAGCTGCTCTGACATCAACATGAAAACATAAAGTATTTGAAGAGTAAAGACACACTAGAGGATGACTAGAGTTCACACTAGAGTTCCATATCTCAAGATGCTTCTTAACCCTAGAAGACCCAAATATAGAAAAAAAACTGTGAAAAAATTATTTCACCTTTTAAATGTTGTTGTAGGAGGCCTCTAATACAGAAATTTATGTTTTTACATTTTTTACATTTTAATCCGCTTTTAGTGAAATAATATCACAACGTTGGGCTCTTTGGGTAGCAGAATGTCAGTGATTTTACTCAGTCTGAACAAATGTAAAAAAAAAAAAAAACATCTAAAGGTTAATTTGCTGGGTGAAATGCTTCTGTAACCCCATTACAATAGTCTATATATGTATACACACTAATGATCACACACAATAATGATAAAAAGTCATATTTTTATGAAGAAAAAAATTTATTATAAAAAATGTTCTGATTATATTTACAAAACCTGATGAACTGAATGAAAGCTTTAAAATATTCTTCATGACTTGACTTTAAAACGTTCTTCTCTTGTATCGCAGTCCATCTCAAAGTCACCATTCTCATTTTGGACAGCATCAGTGATATATCATACACATATGATGAGATGGTGTTTCTTGGCTGGTGGCATTCTGAAATGGAGAAAAACAATGATTATTTTCCAGGCTAAATATATAAGTGGAAATTGATCCACATACACATTTGAAAGAATTCACCCATTCACAGAATTCACACAATACTGTCTGATAGCTTATTGTGCCCTTTACTTATCATGCTAATAGCACTTATACCCCCCACTTTTCAGAATATTATCACCTGTCCCTCATGCAGCAAGCAGATAATTGGGCAAACAAGCAAAGGACCACTCAAGTACATTTTATAAATTATAAGATACAGATAGTTTAAAATATTGCTACACAAATACTTTCAAATTATTGAAGAAATCTTGATTGAATCTCAAAATGGTAACAAAAATACATTTAAAACTTGTGAATGATCAAAAACAGTATGTTTCTATTAGAACTTTCCTTTCACATGGAACAGAGGAGAAATACAATTCATCCATGTAATGGATCCAAGGTGCACAGGCAAATTTTGCTACCCCTTTAATCCAACGTTGCAAAATTACAACACTGACATAACAAGCTCAAAATCTAAAATGATCAATGCATTCAACAATACCTTAATATCTACATGATCTACACATATTAATAATCACAGAAAAAATATTTTAGGCATTTTACTTACTTGAATGTAGATTTATCCAGTCCAGTAATACAAGATGATGTGCTTCAAGGGAAGTTCGCAGGTTGTGTGAGTTTATGGCCAGGTAAATAGGCCTATTTTTAAAATCTATAGCATCCAATAGCATTGCAGGGCTGAAGAATAGGACCCATTAGTTGTGTAAATGTGGTCTTAGAGAGAAAAAAAAAAACATGAGCAGCTTTATTTTAGTCAAGCTAAACCCGATGTTGTAATCAGAATCAGAAGAGCTTTATTATCAAGTATGTTTACACACACAAGCGATTTGACTTGACGACAGGAGCTTCCAGTGCAGAAGAAAGTGCAGACATACATAGGAATAACCCAGTAGGGATGGAATATAACACTAATATAAGAAAAAAAAAAACAGAATTAAATAATGTACTATATACAGAATAGAAGTATAGGAAAAAACTGTTCTTGTGCCTAGCTGTTCTGGTGGTCAGTGCTCTAAAGAGTCGATGTGAGTGTCACACTTCATGTCCTGAAATATGGTGGTGCCCAGCAATCTGAATGATTCTACTGCAGTCACAGTACTGTTAATGACGGTGAGTGGGGGGAGTGCTGGGGGGTTTCTCCCGAAGTCCATGATCACCTTCACCATTTTGAGCGTGTTGAGCTCCAGGTTGTTGTGACTGCACCAAACAGCCAGCTCTTTAAGTCAAGTCAAGTCACCTTTATTTATATAGCGCTTTTAACAATACAGAGTCAGTGGATCACCAGCTTCCTGACAGACAGGCAGCACCTGCACCATCACCATCAGCACCGGAGCTCCTCAGGGCTACGTTCTCTCCCCACTGCTATTCTCCCTCTACCTCCCGTCAGTAGGCAGACTCGTCTCCGTCCTTGATGAGGGCAATAACTGTAGTGTTGTCCGCAAACTTCAGGTGCTTGACAGAGGGGTCCTTTGAAGTGCAGTCATTCGTGTACAGGGAGAAGAGCAGTGGGGAGCGAACACAACCCTGAGGGGCGCCAGTGCTGATGGTGATAGGTCTGGATGTGAGTTTGCCCAGCCTCACTAGCTGCTGCCTGTCTGTCAGCCACAGGACCTGAAGTGGGACTTTTTCACATTGAAAAAGGCTCAGCAGAGGTTGTACTTCCTTCGTCAACTGAAAAAGTTCAACCTGCCACAGGCACATATGACACAGTTTTACTCAGCTGTTATTGAATCAGTTCTGTGCACTTCTATAACTGTCTGGTTTGGGTCAGCCAGCAAATCAGATATAAGGAAACTGCAATGGACTGTTTGGATAGCTGAAATGATAATTGACGTGCTCCTGCCCAACCTTCAGGACTTGTATAACTCCAGAGTGAAGAAACAGGCAGGTAACATCATAACAGACCCCTCTCACCCCGGACACAACCTGTTAGCACTCCTGCCTGTGATGTCCTTCAGGTAGACCAGGACCAGTCGCTCACCAGTCGCCTGCAGGGGGGGTAGGTGAATGTGTGAAGTTCAGATCAGAGCGGATGGAGGGTTGTAGACTGGCCTTTTCAAATCGACAGTAAAACACATTCAGATCATCAGCCAGTTGTTGATTCTCCACAGACTGTGGGGGTGGTGTCTTGTACAAGGTGATGTTCTTGAGACCACTCCATACTGATGCCGGATCGTTGGCTGAAGTAGTAGTTCAGAGTAGTTTTTTTAGCCACTTCTGATCTCCTTTGTTAGTCTGTTCCTGGCCTGGTTATACAATATTTTTATCAAGATCGGTGGCAGCAGCTTCAAAAACACACCAATCAGTGAGGTCGAAACAGGCTTGTAAATACCGCTCTGCTTCATTAGTCCATCTTTTAACAGTCCTTAAAACAGGTTTAGCTGATTTCAGTTTCTGCCTGATGGTCGGTATAAGATGAACCAAACAGTGATCAGAGAGCCCCAAAACTGCTCGTGGGACAGAGTGATATGCATCCTTTATTGTGGTGTAACAGGGATCCAGTATATTACTGTCTCTGGTGGGACATGTAATATGCTGCTTGTATTTTGGCAGTTCATGGGAGAGATTTGATTTGTTAAAATCGCCAAGAATGATTCAAATAGAGTCTGGGTGCCTTTGCTCCATTTCAGTTATTTGTTCGGCCAGCTGTTGCATCGCGGCGCTCACGCACTCGTCCGGAGGAACGTACACATTCACGAGAATGAAAGCGGAAAACCCCCGCGACGCGTAGAAAGGTTTACAGTTTATGAAGAGTGCCTCTAAGTAAGGACAGCATACCTTTTTCTGCGTTGTTACATCTGAACACCAACTTTCGTTGATGTAGAAACACAATCCACCACCTACTGTTTTTGTTTGTTTGTCCTGTCTTAAGCAACGTTTTTCCGATCAGCTTCACTAAAAAATGAACTCTTGGACATAAGGACGGAGTTTCACGAGCGCGCCGGCACACTTTCCTCACTTGCTCGTGAAACTCCGTCAGCGCAGTTTTAGCCTTTTTATTTGCCGCGGGAGTTTTCCTCGTTTATTCTGGTGAGTGCGTACATTCCTCCTGACGCGAGTGTGAGCGTGACGCTAGAACTGTTGGCCGATAAAATTACACACACAGAGCAGTGTTATTCGGGATCTTTCGTTATCATTCTCTGAGATTTTAATAAAGCTAATCTCACCCGTGAACTGCCTAAATATAGACAGCACATTACGTGCCCCACCAGAGACAGCAATATACTGGACCACTGCTACACTGTTTTAAAGGATGCATTCCACTCTGTCCCCCGAGCAGCGCTGGGACTCTGATCACTGTTTGGTTCATCTTCTATCAGCCTACATGCCGAAACTCAAATCTGCTAAGCCTGTAGTAAAAACTGTAAAGACATGGACTGTTGAAGCAGAGCAGGATTTACAGGCCTGCTTCGAACTTACTGATTGGAGTGTTTTTGAGGCTGCAGCTACTGATCTGGATGAGCTTACTGCCGTCTACTGACCCTCGCTTGTTTACTGGACTGCTCCTGTTTTGTCTTCTATATACCTGTTTGCCATTGCCTGACCCTCGCCTGTTTTGACCACGCCCTTAATAAAGCTTGCAAATGGATCCGTATGTCTCACGTCTTGTTTGCCCCGTAACAGTTTGCACTTCTCCCCTCAGGCAGACGCTACAGATCTCTGTGCACATTATTGCCTCTCTCTCAAGTACTATGTAAATACATATGCATATTTTTTTATACAGCTGTATATATAGAGTAAATAAAGCACAGATCTGTACATAAATCTTCTGTTCCAGATTCATGCACATTATTATTTATTGTTAAGTATTATTTAAATGTTTCTGTTCTCATGTCAGATATGTATGTATATATGTATGCATGTATGTACCAAGAGCTTCTTAAAAACCACAACAAATTCCATTTGGCGAATAAAGCTGATTCTGATTCTGATTCTGATAAGAATAACAAAAAAAAAGTTAAGTATTATTTAAATGTTTCTGTTCTCATGTCAGATATGTATGTATTTTTGTTTGCGCACACTTGGCGAATAAAGCTGATTCTGATTCTCTCGTTTTCCCCGTTAACTCCGCGATGTGATCCGCTCTGAACAGCTGGTAGACCGGCAGATGAAACACGTTATCCGGAATGGCTTTACTCAGCCAGGTTTCATTGAAGCACAGTGCAGCAGAGTTTGAAAAGCCCTTGTTGGTGCGGGTGAGGAGAAGAAGTTCATCCGTTTTGTTTGGAAGGGAACGGACATTCGCGAGATGAATGCTTGGGAGAGCAGGTCGAAAGCCGCGTGCGCGGAGCTTAACCAGGGTGCCGGCGCATTTCCCTCTTCTGCGTCTGTACGCGCGTTTGAACAACACAGCTGTACCTCCGACTAGAATGTCCAACAAAACGTCCAAATAATAAAAAAACGGAAAAAAATATTGTCTGGGATATGTTGCTTAATGTTAAGGAGTTCGTCTCTGGTAAATCTTATAGAAGAAGAATGACAAAACACAGAACAAACAAACAAAAACATTAGCTTGTTCAGGTGTGTTTGATTAGGGTTGGAGCTGAACTCTGCAGGACTGCGGCTCTCTAGGACCAAACTTGCCTACCCCTGATCTAGGGGGTTCCAGGGGTATGCCCCCCTGTAAGAACATTTTGTTCATTTTAAATTTAAATGCATACATCTGGTGCATTTTGAGAGCATAATCAAGTGACTAGATCAATGAAGAAATATTTGCTCTTGTAAACAATTTTGTGCTCTTGTAGTAGTTTATTTATTGGTTGCATAGATGTGAATGTGATGGTAGGGCTCAATTTTCACTATATCAATTCTTATAAACGCTACAACTGCTATTCTATCAAGAACAGTGAATGATTTTCTCCTCGTCTTTTGTTGTTTGATTATCATTAAAGTCGACACTTAACTCAAGAGACGAGACATGAGATTGGGTTCAAGTGAACAAGACGAGGCGAGACTTTTACAAATTGTAAAAAAATTCTCAATGATCAAATACATGACTGGAAAAATAGTCTGCAGGTGCATTTTGAATTGTTTTAACTAATCATCTGGTAATAAATGCCATTTCAGTTCTACATTCTGTGTATGAGTTATCATATGTAGTAAAAGACAACAACACTCAAGCACTGTAAAAGGTTTTGCCACAAACTCAACTGACTGGCTTCTCTCTTGTATCATTTCAGTCTCTTCAGATCTTAGAACTGTACATGAATTATGAGCTTCTAGAACATTTGACCTCCTAACTGACCGCCTTTTCACAAATTGAACATAGAAATAAAAACAGTAGAAATAACAAAAAATAAACAACATAGTTCTTTCTTAGTTGTATTAAGTGCAAACAATAAGTGCAGCCATAATCAAAGTAGGCTACTCTCTCAATAAAAGTGCAAATAGAGACCAAATTTTCCAAGCAAGATAAAGAGCTATAGACAACTACACAACCTATTATAGCCTACATACTAATAACAGCCTAGATATGTTATGTAGCCTAATTTGCGCACTTCAGAGAGTCGGTTTAAAAATGCGGGGAATTAAAATCGCTTTTACTTTCGGTTTCGATTTAACGATCGTGCGAACTCTCGGCGGTGCTGAGCGTGCATTCTACAATACAAGACATTAATTTTGTCAGACGCTCTGCAACGAATCCTCCTTTTTATCATATGTAGTAAAAGACAACAACACTCAAGCACTGTAAAAGGTTTTGCCACAAACTCAACTGACTGGCTTCTCTCTTGTATCATTTCAGTCTCTTCAGATCTTAGAACTGTACATGAATTATGAGCTTCTAGAACATTTGACCTCCTAACTGACCGCCTTTTCACAAATTGAACATAGAAATAAAAACAGTAGAAATAACAAAAAATAAACAACATAGTTCTTTCTTAGTTGTATTAAGTGCAAACAATAAGTGCAGCCATAATCAAAGGCTACTCTCTCAATATTCAAAGTGCAAATAGAGACCAAATTTTCCAAGCAAGATAAAGAGCTATAGACAACTACACAACCTATTATAGCCTACATACTAATAACAGCCTAGATATGTTATGTAGCCTAATTTGCGCACTTCAGAGAGTCGGTTTAAAAATGCGGGGAATTAAAATCGCTTTTACTTTCGGTTTCGATTTAACGATCGTGCGAACTCTCGGCGGTGCTGAGCGTGCATTCTACAATACAAGACATTAATTTTGTCAGACGCTCTGCAACAAATCCTCCTTTAATGTTTCTTATGGGCCAGTGAGGGTCTTTTTTTTTTGTTCGCGCTGAAGTAAATTTAAAATAATAAAAAAGCTGTCTGGCCAATCCGAGGCCCCTGCACACGTGGGGCCCCTTGGCTGCAGCCTAGGCAAGCCTGTGCATTAATCCGCGCTTGTATATATGTATAGTAACATAATAATATAATGATATAATAATATTTCAACAGTGGGCCTTACAGAATAACAACGATTTGAACATTAAAAGAACCTTAGAGAGAAGTTACTAAATAGAGCTGTTAATGACCTTCCTAACATAAAAGGTGTTGGTGAAGTTGTTTAAAATTATATGTCGATTATCTCAACAGGGAGTAACTCAATTTATTTCCGTGCCAATTAGCAGAAATAGAATGCACAGGGCTGTGATTTGATTATTATGCAGTGGTTTGACAATGATAAAACAACGTCAATGTCTCCCATTCAGACTCTGCTATTTAAAACGTGTGATCAGTTGTTCGCACCTTTGTATTAATAGAGCTGACTAGTTAAACCTGTCAGAGCTTTTTCCGCTGCTTGCTATTTCCACTTCTTTTTTGAACGTGTGAAGCAGCTGCTGTGTGTGATGGTGAAACAGCGTCACATTTTTAGAGCGACTGGAAATTTGATAATGAGATCAAAGAAAGATGCCTAAAAGATCATGACTGTCACTCACAATCGTGTCCTGCACTAGCAGTAAACAGCTTGAGCAGCTGCTGTCATCACCCCGACCAGGAAATGGAACAGCACAGAGGATCTGTACATTTTACGTCCTTTTTCAGGATCTTGATTCTAAGCTTATGTAAAACAACTGCTTTTTCCTACTTTGTACATTATGAATATCTTTCCAAGAAAGCATAATGACGGAGAGAATGTTGAATACAATCACAACTCATCTGCTCTATAATTAAACTTCAAAAATAATGAGAAGGAGCAGACATTCTGTACAAATGCACAGTATTTTCTAATTACGCAAAGCAATCTTGTTCATTTCCTATAGCATACATTTAATGAAAGAGAAATAAACATTTTTTTTCTTTTTCAAAATGACTGGAACTGCTGAGGATAATTATGTTTTCTTTAATGATACTGTCCCTATTTTCTCCCAAGCAAGCACTATATTGTTGATTTATATATGATACATTTTGATGGCAAAATACAGAAAAAAACACCTGTATATAATCATTATTCTTTTGGCATTTTTCACAAATAAGGTATAAAATAAAACATTTAAACTCTTGTGTCAGTGAAAAGAGGTGCATAACCTTCTGAAAATGTTGAATGCGATCCTCAAAATATTCTAAAAGCAATTAAATCTACAACAGTGATTAATATTATGATACATATTACAAAAGCAATCAGAAAGTCATACATTTATTTTAAATGTATTTTATACCACATTTGTGACATGTTAAAATACAATTTAAAACTCTTGATTTGTGTCATTTTATTTCTAGCGCATTAAATTAACACCATAATTAATTAAACAAAATGTATCTATTAAATAAAAACATTTGGAAGCACATTTAGCTAGCTAGTTTGGAGCCAAATATTGCTAGTTCTCATGCTATGTTAATTTAATCTCACATACCTCATATTTCTCCCTGAAATATATGGAATTGATGCATTTAATGTTTACTGTAACACTTTTTTAAGGACCAATTCTCACTATTAACTAGTTGCTTATCATGCATATTACTAGTATATTGGCTATTTATTAGTACAAAGCATATATTAATGCCTTATTTTGTATGACCACAGTTTAGATCCCTTTACAACTACCTTACTAACTATTAATAAGCAGCAAATTAGGAGTTTATTGAGGCAAAAGTCATAGTTAATAGTTAGTTAGTAGTGATAACTGGTCCTTAAACTAAATTGTGACCATGCTTACAAAAAATATAAATAAATAAATAAATATATTGGACAGCAAAATGTACTATAATCATAGATGGCGCCTTTTTAATTGACAACAATGATGTCAGACCTTTTTTGCTTAAAAAAATTTAAAAATGACAGAGCATTTTAAGTTCTTTTCGCTGTTATCATTAAAAATGCAAGTGGCGTCACTGGCACCACCGTCGACCCCAGGAGGTTAAGCCCTTCTAAAAATACCTTATATGTGAACCCAGTCTTGATGAAGTTCTTCTCCAGGACATTGTCCAGGGCAGGATCCAGTTCTTTCCCAACATCTTCAATGAGTAGGGGACGCCCAAGAGACAAACTGTCCTCTAGATGGTTTCTGAAGTATTTGTGATTCAGTGAGGTGATCTGTGAAAACAGGAATACCTCATTACTGACCCAACTCAAGTTCTGCTACTGGGGAAAGCTATTACCTGAGGTGGAGGTGATTTTCTTTATGAGGTCATACCTCTGAAAGGGTGTCTGACCTCTTAAAAATAAACCATGCATCAGTGCAAGCTGTGCATATTCAATTTTATTTTAACATGAATCGCAAGAATATAAATGTTGAACTTTTAAATATGCAGAGGCCTATTGCATCAAATTATTGTACCTTTAGGTATAATAGCAACATTAAAACCTATTTTAAAAACATTGTAGCTTTTTAGTCATTTTAGTAGCAAGCTGCTTTTACCATTGACAGTATAGCATGATAAAGTGGATTTTATGTACAACATTATGATATTACGATTTTACCAAAAGAATATATCACTGTTTTTAACGCACTTACTTTATATACATTATAGTGTTTTCATGATTTATTGGTGGTTTACTGTAACAGGTTTTTAGATTGTAGTTTTTATTAGTATAGCTAATTATTTTTCAGACTGGTATAGCTTAGCTGTAGTTACTGTCACAAAGCAAGGCCAGACACAACAGGTAAGTGCAGACAAGCTACAATTAAAGCGTTACATTTAACATGGAAAATACCTTCTTCAACACTGCAGTGCACTTCAAATTATCGATTGAACCACACTGTGTAAATCATATTCCTATTAAGTGGTCACCTGAAGCTCATTCTTGGACTCTTTGTTCTTGATCCAGATCTTTCCCTGGGTCTGGGGGTCAATCAGCAGGGGAAACCTGGCAGCCTTTGTAACAATAATCCCATTCTGGATGGACAGGTCATCACTGGGAAGCCCCTGTAGGTTCCATTCACTTACTGTGGGAGCGTCAATTAACATTTCAGTGAGATTCAGATTGGTCCTAAAAGGAATCCGACGGGACTTCATTTCTCTCTGCCAATCAGTGAGAAGGAGGTTGCGAAACTCTTGATTAAAAGGTCCAGAGTAGGACAGGAAGGCTGTAGCCAGAAACACGTCACCTAAGCATGGGAAATGTAAAATTAGATTAAGACTTAAAAAATAGGATGAAACTCTATGTCACTGCTATATGGTTTTATGGTTTTATATGGTGCTATATGGTTTTAGCACATTGTTGCTAGGGTGATCTAGAGAGTTGCTAGAGTGTTGCTATTTACTGCTTTTACTGATAAAAATAGCTATGTCGAAAGATTTGAGGTATCATTAATTTCTATACCACAGATGGTGCAGGATGAGGGCATGCTCAGTGGAGTTCTGGGTGGTTCCTACAACAATGCTGGTTCCTAGATATGGCCCAGGGGTGCGTTTCCCAAAAGCAACTATGGTCGCAAGTTCCGTTGTTACCAATAGAGTTCAATGGAACGAACCATCATAGTTAGCTAACGATGCTTTTGGGAAACGCACCCCAGGTTGGGATCTTTTTTGCCTGTTTTATCATCTACTAGGTGGAAACTGTACTGTATGTTTAATCACTTTTACAATGTAATGACTAAATCCTACGATTTGACATCACTTTTCATAGTACAAATGGTAGAGACCATGTTATACAAAGCTACAGTAATAGTGATGCTTGCCTGCTAATATGAGAAGATGGTTCAGGTATGTTTATTTAGGGGCCAAATTCTGTAGGATAGTGACCCTTCAGAAGCTGGACTGAACATCCCTGCAGTAATCTATCTAACACAGTTGTTTACCTGTTTTTCCAACATGGCCTTCTCATACTCAGCTTGAACTACATCCAGCTCTGCTGGCTTAGCATCTAGCCCTGCCTGGGCTTTCTGGAGGTCCACATTAGCTATGGCCAGCCTGTTCTCCTGCACTGCCAGATTAGCCTGAGGATGATGAAGAAAGACAGTGTTGAAGAAAGCCTAACTGTTGTGCAGCAAAAGAAAAAAATAGGGAGTGATAAACTGCATTTGCATTACTTCATTATAAATATGCAGTTCTAAATCAAATTGTGATTTTTCTGCTAAAAATTGCAATTACAATTTATAATACAATGAACTGTTTTTGTTTGTCTTTTTGTTTTGTCTTTTTAAAGAGCTCCGGGTCTTCTTGACTGCAGGGCTGCACAATTTATTCCAATAATCATAATGCCATAATTATATTATTTTGCCATATAGGTTTTCACTCACATTTGGTGGTTGGTGAGTGTAAATTTTTGGACCAAGTATACAACTATTCATGAGCTGCAATCAGGTTATATGCACTGGTTCAAAAACAAACAATTTTGTAGTCAAATTCTCCTACGTCTCCTCGCTCCTTTGCTCCGCTTTCCTACACAGCAGCAGTTCTGTGACAGAATTCCAGACCCACAAAAAGTGAGCGGGCTCGCCGTGTATACGGCGCTGGATGATGCGACGCTCAACTATTTGTTCTGGATCGGGGCTAATTACCATCGCCCCGTGGACCTCCCAGACACCACTGGACTAAGCTGGAGGGAAGGGATCCTCCGGTGTCTGGAGAGCATCCGGCCCCGATCCAGAACCAGCTCTCCGTCAAGCCCGCCGGCCGCCGCTGACTTAGCGCTTCTGGACATGGCGCTGCCTCCAGAGTTCTCGGCTCCTGTCCTCGCCCCGGAATCATCCCCGGAAAGTTCTCCTTCGTCTCCGCTGGTCCCGTTCAGCCCTCCTTCGTCTCCTGATCCCCCCGAGTTAACCAGCCTTGCACCTCCAGAGCGCCCTCCAGTGTCCGCTCCTCGCAAGCTCCCTCCAGAGCCAGCTCCTCGAAAGCGCCTTCCAGAGCGCCCTCCAGTGCCCGCTCCTTGTAAGCCCCCTCCAGAGCCGGCTCCTCAAAAATGCCTTTCAGAGCACCCCCCAGTGCCCGCTCCTCCAGAGCGCCCTCAAGTGCCCGCTCATCCAGACCGCCCTCAAGTGCCCGCTCCTCCAGAGCGCCCTCAAGTGCCCACTCCTCCAGAGTACCCTCCAGTGCCCGCTCCTCCAGAGCGCACCCCAGGATTACTAATTTTCCCCAAGAACATTTTTTTTGGGGGGGCCATATACAGGGGCGTGTCTACGTGGTGGCCAGGGGTGGCACCGGCCCCCCCTGAAATTTGGCTGGCCACCCCAGGTGCCCCCCCACCAGATGTCTTGCCATAGGCTTGTTTTTAGTCAATTTCTAATTTTAGGCGGTTTCTATAGTGTGATCTTAATGACAATGTCGAGAGCGCATAATGTTACGCGATCCATGTGCGTGAGGACAAATCTCTCCACTCCCAAGCGGATTTCCTACACTCACACAAAACTGTACGTGTGCTCTTAACATACATCGTTCCGCAAACACAACCCATGAGTAAACTGCTTTTAACATATATCGTTCCGCAAACAGGGGGAGGGGGGCCATATCTGTCACGTGTGTGTGTGTTCCTGTTTGTCCTTATTTGGTCCTTCCAGTTCCTTTTCCCATTATTAGTAATCACCTGTTCCTTGTTATTAGTTATTCTTATCACCTGTCTGCCCCTCGTTATCTGCCCTATTGAGTTCGAGCCCGTTCTGTTCTCCTTTGTCTGGAATTGTTCATGTCAACCTTGCTACGTGTGTTTTTCTGTTTCCTTTTGATTATTAAATTTAGTAAAATTATCCTCGCTCCTTTGCTCCGCGCTCCTACACAGCAGCAGTTCTGTGACACACTGGGTGTGTATTTTTATTTTTTTTTTACAGTTCACATTGTAGAGCCTCAAGATGTTAACTTTCACATTACAATCTGTTTTTGAATTAAAATGTCATGCTTGATTTGTATTATTTTTATTAGGGGTTCAAGCACGCAGTGCTGAAACCCTATTGTAATTGTAAGGATTTTTATTATTATTATTCTTCCCTAAAACTGATTGTGCAGAATAACCCGTAAGGCCTAGAGAGCTGAAACTTGGTCAAAAGGTAGTAGTCTGCTCTACGAGGTACGGTTTTCCCGCCATTTTGAAGTAAATTCAAAACGTACTTTTGCGAACTAGTCCTAGGTTTTTTGCCCGATCCAAACCAAACCACTGCAGAAAAATTCTTTGGACAGTGAATATCAATAATTATCAAAAAAAAGTTGAAATTTCAACTCACCGTCACATAGGGACGCCAAAACGTTCGTAAGGGGTGGAGCCAATTTTACTAAAATGGCTATAACTCTTGAATGGAATGAGATATCTTCACCAAACTCAGAATTATCAAAAAAATGTTGAATTTTGTCCTTTGCTTACTTTTTACGGTGTCATTTAGAGAAGGGCGTGGTCAAATATACCCCAAAACCTATAAAACCTAAACGAAAACTCCAAAATTTACGAAACTTGGTGAAAACATGTGTCAGATGACTCTTAGCAAGAATGCGAAGTAAAGAGGCGCAAAGAGCTGGCCCAATCGGTCAAAGGGGGGGCGCTACAGTGCAAAAAAACTACATTTTCAGACATTTTTGGCCGTAGCTCGTACACCATTTGTCGTAGACTCAAAAATTGTACATCGTTGCGATCCTTGGGTCATTCCGAACAAAAGTTTATACTTACAGCAAATTTTACTCTACGACGCACGTTTTTTCCGCAAAATTGAGTTATGTCTAAAACCTACTTTTGCGAACTAGTCCTAGGTTTTTCGTCCTATCTCGATCAAACCACTGCAGTAATATTCTGTGGACTCTCTAGATCAATAATTATTCAAAAAAAATGTAATTTTGTCCTTTGGTTAGCTATAATGGGGTCATTTTAAAAGGGGCGTGGCCAAATATACCCAAAAGCCTATAAAACCTAAACAAAAACTCCAAACTTTACGAAACTTGGTGAAAATATGTGTCAGATGACTCTTAGCAAGCATGCAAAGTTTCATGGCGATCGGACTGTAGGTGGCGCTATAACAGTTGAAAATACCTCAAAAATACAATATTTGTATAGAAAATGACCTCAAATTGTAGAACATGTACATATATTCACAAAAATACAAGATC